ATTAATGCTCATAAAGATTTACTGAGGTATTGGCAAACTCTACTTGGTGGGCCTAAATAGCATGACAACACTGCATGATCTATATTTAGAATGAATTGAGTAGCAGAAGCTTTACATTATACCTACTGCCAAGCTGGTGCCAAATACACACACACACACACACACACACACACACACACACACTATAAGACTTAAGCCCATGTCATGTGATACAACATGGATTCGATTGTGCTACTAACATTTCACTTCCAGAGCTTTCCATTGCAATCAGTTAAAAAGACAAGCAGTATTAATGTCATGTGATGAGGGGGCCGACTAAGGTCCTGTGGTAAATCCTAGGCAGTCTGCTCAGAAAAGCCGGGCCACCCATATATAATTTAATTTAACAGACAGGCCTGACAACCAATCGGCAACATGAACACAAGAAATCGGCAAAAACACAAGAATCAGAAACTTCAAACAAGTTTATTTGTTCTCATGCTGCAGTGTTCCTGAGAAACCGGAATGCTGTTTTGAACTTGTTCTCCAGAAAAATAAATTAAACACAAATTATGAACACTAACATCAAAAGACTGCAGTGTTATGTTTACAGTAAGAAAAAATCTCGACATTGTTTACACAAAGTGTAAGGAATAACACACTAAAAATAGTTTACAACAAAGCCTCTACTCGAAAGCCACACTACATGCTCCATACTAGTTATTTTACAGTCTGAACAGGGTTGCTTGTGGGTATGAGGATAGATCTACATCAACATTGAATGTGAACGGAACACTTGTTTCATGCATTACTCTCTGTTAGCATCGACTATGACGAATCGCTACTCTAATGCCATTTCAACTTGAGGAACTTCAGCAGTGACGCACCAGCAGAAATATATCTGACCAACCAATGGCTGCCCCATTATAAATAACAAAAGAGGGATTTCATCCCTTTTCCAATCCTTTCATTAAAAAAAACAACAAAACAAAACAAAAAAAAAACGTTCAACCAAATACTATGTTGTCTTTTCGGATAAATAAAAAAGGCACCTTCAAATGCATAATATGAAACAAAAGTTGCTGTACACTGGCCAAAACTGCCTCTATACACATTAACCGCACAATACAGATGTTCATGATCACTACAACTACAATGACAACTTATGAAACTCTCACAGATATGTACACAGAATGCAAGACTGAAGATATACTCACATTTACTGTTGCTCGGCGAAATTTTACAGTTCCCCATGTAGACTTCGCTCATGTTCAAATTGGTCACATGAATTTTCCACTTTGACCAACAGAAAGCTGCTTGGTTTGAAAGTGACTTCTGTGTGAGCTGCAATTGATGCATTGCTACACTATTGAAAATAGACCATTTTTGCCTGCGAAATGTTGCTGAAATATGGCTAATGTGACTGTGCGTTGAGCCTGTAAGACCAATTCAGTTCAGTGTGTGGAAAATTTGATTCATTACAAATTGGAGATACTTCAGTGCTCATTTCAGAATCCTGAATTTGATCATTTGAAGTTGAAGAATAGGTGACAATTTTTTTTGTCCAATATCACAATTTAAGATTAAAAATGTGGGGTTCAACAGTGTGAGACCTCGTTGAAAATCTGAGAAATAAAATCCAATTTAAACCTCAAAACACGACATATGGCACAGATGTGCTTCGAGTGACCTGAGTTCCTTTCCTGATCCTGTTTCCCTCTCTCAGTACTTCCTGTCTCAACTTCACCATCCTATCCAATCCCCCACTAATTAATAAGTGAAAGTGTGTACAAAGGAATTCACATGGACAGTCTCCCAATTATTTTAAAGTCAACCAATGCATTTATAACTTATTCATGCAATTTATATAAATGCATGTTGAAATAATAAAAATAACAACTCTTCAGTAACACTTTATTTTAAGGTGTTCTTGTTACACGTTACATGTACTTACTATATTAATAACAACAACAATTTATGCATAATTACATGCAAGCCAAACCCTAATCCTAAACCTAACCATACATGTACTTAATTAATATTACTCAGTACTTAAATGTATAATTACACAGTAACAAGGACACCTTAAAATAAAGTGTAACCAACTCGACTTCTAATTACTCCACTTAAGGACTCTGCGTGAACCATCCTCAATTAATGAAAGAATCAAGCAAATGATTCAAATGTTGTTCATGTCTGATTCATTTCGTATTCACAGCGCAGATGGTTGGATGTAGCCAATTATAGACGGTAGAATGCACAAGACAGTGTCAGTGGATCTTCAGAGTCTTTACTTAGCTACATGTGTAAAATAACCAGGGAACTCTACACTATAAGATCCAGCTTGAGAATGGGAAGATTTGGCTCCATCGTGCCAGAGAATACCAGGCTGTACCGTTATCAGTGGGGGCTTCAGATGAGCCCGGTTATTACATAACAGAAACCCGATCATCTGTGTTAGCGTGAGTTCAAATGCAAGAAAAGCAGTCCTGAAGTGGAAAGGACGTGGAGAAATTCAGAGGGGAAGCAAGACTTAAAGGGACAGTTCAACTAAAAATCACCCTGGAGTTGTGCCAAACCTGTATGAGTTTCTTTCAGCTGTTGAACAAAGAAAGAAGATATTTTGAAGAATGTCGGTAACCTTATAGTTCACAGTAAGCATTGACTTCCATAGTATTTTCTCCATACTGTGGAAGCCAATGGCTACCGTCAGCTGTTTGGTTACCACCATTTTTCAAAATATCTTTTGTGTTCAAAGGAACTCATACATATGGAAGCCTGTTTCTGCCACTGAATAAAAAAAAAAAAGTAATTGTGCCTTTTTATCTCACAATTATGACTTTTTTTCTCGCAATTGCGAGTTTATATCTCACAATTCTGACTTTTTTTCTCAGAATTGAGATATAAACTCGCAATTGCGAGTTATAAAGTCCAGTTCTGAGAAGTTTATATCTCACTATTCTGACTTAACTCGCAATTGCGCGCTTATATAACAATTCTGACTTCATTTATCAGAATTGCGAGTTTATATTTCACAATTCTGAGAAAAAAAAAGTCAGAATTGCGAGATAAAAAGTCGCAATTATAATTTTTATTTTTTTATTCAGTGACAGAAACGGGCTTCCATACATACAGGTTTGGAACAACATGAGGGTGAGTAAATGATTATAGATCTTTAATTTTTGCGTGAACTGTCCCTTTAAGAGGGCTTACTGGATGATATGGATACAAGGATTCTTCTGAAGATCACCAACATGTGAGTTTTGTGCGCATGTGCATGTCGTTCTGAACCTTCGCTAAGCATTTGTTTGTGCTTGGAACATGTCTGTGACGTAGAAGACTACTTTGTTTGTGTACAAACGTAAAGCGAAAGGCATCTGTGGGTCTTCTTCTCACCGTTCCCAGCGGCCGTGGGTTTGCCACAGAACCCCTGGCATCACATTACACAATATTTTTATCTGACGCAGCAACAGCCTGGAATAGCATCAATACATAAATCTGCAAACTCTCGCAGAAAGAGCTGATCAGTGCGCACTATAACTGAAGTCAAAATCTAAATTATATTCAAACGAATTTAACAACTTGTGTTTGTCACATTTGGAAGATCCAGCTCTGCACCCAACCAGCAGGCATTAAATAAAGACAATCCAGCAATTTGATCGAGTTTAAACAACTAGGCTGGACTAACCATCGTTTGGTTGAGGTGTACAGGATTATGAAAGTGGGGTTTGTTTTCGGCTCCTGAGTGGCAGAAGAACACCTTGAGCTTGGTTGGAATGTTACTGTTGTATATGCAAGTCCAGCAGAGGTTAAGTGTCAAAGGTGAAAGGTCATGTCCAGGTGAGGAAGACTGTGTTAGATCACCTCCCTGCTGTTCCGGATTGCACAGCATAGGACCATACTAAAGATCATGCCAATAATCTGTAAAAAGAGAAGATGTTACGCATGAAATTATAACTGACTTCCTTTTTAATCCACACGCTTACCTTACATACAATAAGTGCACATTATTTAAAAAAAATGTTTGGTTTTACAAATATTATTACTATTATTAAAATATATATACCACCATTTGGGGTCAGTAAGATTCTTTTTAAAATAAATAAATACGTTTTTTCAGCAAGGACGCATTAACAAAAATGACAGTAAAGACATTTATAATGTTACAAACCATTTCTATTTTTAAATAAATACTGTTCTTTTGAACTTTGTATTCATCAGAGAATCCAGAATGCAAAATGTTTACAAAAATATGGAGCAGCTGCAACGGTTTTCATCATTTCTTGATGAAAGTTTCTTGAGTAGCAAATCAGCATATTAGAAAGATTTCTGAAGGATCATGTGACACTGCTGCTGAAAATTCAGCTTTGACTCACAGTAATATACGTTATTTTTATTATTTGATCATAATAATATATTAAAAAGAAAAACATCATATTTTAAACTAATCATATTTCACAGTATTACTGTTTTTTACTGTATTTTTGATTAAATAAATGCAGCCTTGATAAGCATAAGAGAGTTCTTCCAAAAACACTCAAAACATCTTACAAACCCCAAACATTTATTTATTTGTTTGTTTATATAATTTCAAAAACATAATCCAAAAGAAGGAAAATCATCAGGAGGCCTTGTTTTAGACATAAAGTCGCAATTCTGAGAAATAAAGTCAGAACTGCGAGATTAAAATCTCACAATTATGACTTTTTTTCTCGCAATTGCGAGTTTATATCTCACAATTCTGACTTTTTTTCTCAGAATTGAGATATAAACTCGCAATTGCGAGTTATAAAGTCCAGTTCTGAGAAGTTTATATCTCACTATTCTGACTTAACTCGCAATTGCGCGCTTATATAACAATTCTGACTTCATTTATCAGAATTGCGAGTTTATATTTCACAATTCTGAGAAAAAAAAAGTCAGAATTGCGAGATAAAAAGTCGCAATTATAATTTTTATTTTTTTATTCAGTGACAGAAACGGGCTTCCATACATACAGGTTTGGAACAACATGAGGGTGAGTAAATGATTATAGATCTTTAATTTTTGCGTGAACTGTCCCTTTAAGAGGGCTTACTGGATGATATGGATACAAGGATTCTTCTGAAGATCACCAACATGTGAGTTTTGTGCGCATGTGCATGTCGTTCTGAACCTTCGCTAAGCATTTGTTTGTGCTTGGAACATGTCTGTGACGTAGAAGACTACTTTGTTTGTGTACAAACGTAAAGCGAAAGGCATCTGTGGGTCTTCTTCTCACCGTTCCCAGCGGCCGTGGGTTTGCCACAGAACCCCTGGCATCACATTACACAATATTTTTATCTGACGCAGCAACAGCCTGGAATAGCATCAATACATAAATCTGCAAACTCTCGCAGAAAGAGCTGATCAGTGCGCACTATAACTGAAGTCAAAATCTAAATTATATTCAAACGAATTTAACAACTTGTGTTTGTCACATTTGGAAGATCCAGCTCTGCACCCAACCAGCAGGCATTAAATAAAGACAATCCAGCAATTTGATCGAGTTTAAACAACTAGGCTGGACTAACCATCGTTTGGTTGAGGTGTACAGGATTATGAAAGTGGGGTTTGTTTTCGGCTCCTGAGTGGCAGAAGAACACCTTGAGCTTGGTTGGAATGTTACTGTTGTATATGCAAGTCCAGCAGAGGTTAAGTGTCAAAGGTGAAAGGTCATGTCCAGGTGAGGAAGACTGTGTTAGATCACCTCCCTGCTGTTCCGGATTGCACAGCATAGGACCATACTAAAGATCATGCCAATAATCTGTAAAAAGAGAAGATGTTACGCATGAAATTATAACTGACTTCCTTTTTAATCCACACGCTTACCTTACATACAATAAGTGCACATTATTTAAAAAAAATGTTTGGTTTTACAAATATTATTACTATTATTAAAATATATATACCACCATTTGGGGTCAGTAAGATTCTTTTTAAAATAAATAAATACGTTTTTTCAGCAAGGACGCATTAACAAAAATGACAGTAAAGACATTTATAATGTTACAAACCATTTCTATTTTTAAATAAATACTGTTCTTTTGAACTTTGTATTCATCAGAGAATCCAGAATGCAAAATGTTTACAAAAATATGGAGCAGCTGCAACGGTTTTCATCATTTCTTGATGAAAGTTTCTTGAGTAGCAAATCAGCATATTAGAAAGATTTCTGAAGGATCATGTGACACTGCTGCTGAAAATTCAGCTTTGACTCACAGTAATATACGTTATTTTTATTATTTGATCATAATAATATATTAAAAAGAAAAACATCATATTTTAAACTAATCATATTTCACAGTATTACTGTTTTTTACTGTATTTTTGATTAAATAAATGCAGCCTTGATAAGCATAAGAGAGTTCTTCCAAAAACACTCAAAACATCTTACAAACCCCAAACATTTATTTATTTGTTTGTTTATATAATTTCAAAAACATAATCCAAAAGAAGGAAAATCATCAGGAGGCCTTGTTTTAAAAGTTACAAGTATTTTAAAGTATTCAAATTATGAAGTTTGAAAGTTATACAGGATCAGGATAAAAACTGACTATATTGACTACAGTTAATGACATAATGGTATTTACCATGACTCCCGCGATTCCAATCCCCACATAACCCACGATGAAGAGCTTACTGCTGAAAAACTGTTCAATGGCCTCATGACATGTCTGCATAGAGTCAAACAGATTGATAACTGACTGATTGATAATATGCATCTCAATACCACATCTTCCTAAATAATTCAGTTTCAATGCACGTTGAACAGATGTCACACTAACTGAAGTGTTATACAGTTCTACAAGTGCCAAACATACTAGTGTTCTACTAACTGCATAAATAATGGCCCTCATCTTTCTCACCTGGTTTGATACGACGTCTTGACACAAACTGCTTTGTGTTGAAGGTGAGCCACAGCAGTTCAACTGCAGATTTGAAGTGTTACAAATTGAAATCTTTCATAATAAGGTTAGACAAATATATAAACATAATTTAGATTATATTTATATCAGTGTTGTTATTGATAACGTCTCGGTTACGTATGTAACCCTCGTTCCCTGAAGGAGGGAACGGAGACGTCACGTCGGATGACCGACGAATTGGGATCTCGCTTAGAGAGACCAATCTACTTCGAGTGTAAACTAAACGAGCCAATGCACA